CTGCCTCCCTAGCACCAGGGTCCCTGTCCCTTTAAGGCTTCCAAAAAGCACTCGCCAAAAAGAGAAAGAAAAGGGGAAAAGCGCGCGATTTCCTCTGTCCTCAAGTGCCGGTCCCAGGCACCCCCTCACTGGTACCGCCACCCTGCCTCCCTAGCAACAGGGTCCCTGTCCCTTTAAGGGTTCCAAAAAACACTCACCAAAAAGAGAAAAAAATAAAAGGGAAAAACGCGCGATTTCCTCCGTCCTCAGGCACCGGTCTCAGGCACCCGCCCACCGGTCCCATAGGGAAAAACGCGCGATCTTTGTCCTCAGGCGCCGGTCGCAGGCACCGCTCACCGGTCCTGCCACCCTGCCTCCCTAGCAACGGGGTCCCTGTCCCTTTAAGGCTTCCAAAAAGCACCCACCAAAAAAAAAACAAAAAAAACCGCTCCGGTTTCTTTCCACCTGCCGGGAGCTGGGGGGAGGGGTGCTCGGGTCCCGCCGGGCCGGGGCTTGTATCTTACCCCCTTTGCAAGGCGCTGGGTTCTTGCAGGTGTGGATGTGGTCTGGATGTTGTCCTGTGTCCTCTGGTCTCTATTTTTGGAAGAGTTTTGTTTGTTATATTTTCATAGCTCTATGTGTTTTTGGGAGGAGATTTCCACTGCTCTACTCACACTGCCATCTTGGCTCTGCCTCATTTGTTACTTTATTTTAATAATCTTTCCAACCAAACAAGTTTGTCCCAATTATTATCCCTATTTTATAGGAAAAAACCCAAGACTTACGAAGCTTGTCCAGGTTCACACAAGCGATTGCACTCAGTGATCAACACACACATTCTGATTGAGAAGTCTGTGTTCTTCGTTTGCATTGCATATCCCCGTTGATGACAGGGACAGGCTAATCCTATCAGATGGTGTCACACCGCAAGGCTGGACCAGACTCCACTACTGCTGTCATGGCCTGGAAGGTGCAGAGCACATCCTTCACAAGGACGCTGCAGTCCCCACCCCACACTGTGATTCCTGTCAGTCCTCCAAGGGAGGGCACCCCTGCGCAGGAGCTCCGGGCTGCTCGCTCCGAGCAGGTGTCCATCCATCAGCGGGACTGTGAGCCACTGAAGTTGGATCCATGGCTGTAGGCTGATTTCACTCTCAGCAATTAGCCCAGGATCTGCGACACTGCAGGTGGGCAGTCAACATCTGCTGAATGAAGGAATCAACCTCCCATCTCCAAGTGGGAGAGGGAAATGAGGGCAGCATTGTTTGTGAAGTGGACTGGACCTCATGATAGCCTCAGCCATCTGGGACCACCAGTGCTTCAGTGATCTGGCTCCGGGGAGCCAGAGGGTTGGTAAAACGTGCTCTGATCAGGAGGAGAGGTGATGAAAACAGCCTTCCAGGGCCACCGGCCAGCTTAATAGTAGGATGAGAGGCATCAGGGGTCACTGTCATGCTAGAATTGACATGTGGCTCTCTTCACAGTGATGTGGAAAAATCAAGACCTGCAGGCAGCATCTGCTGCCGTAGGAGAGTGGGGAGCCTCCTGACCCGAGACAGCCTGGCCCCTGCTCCCTTAGGAGCCCAGCTTGCCGACTTGGGTTCCTCACCCAGCCTCTGGGGTCAGGGACACTCAGGCTCTGGTGAAAACCAGGAGCTCCCTGCAGACTCTCACCTGCACACACACAGGGCGCTGTACTTCTGAGAACCCCATTCCGTGGGGCCAGTCAACACATGCTGCTCTTACACTCCGACAGGCGCCAGAGGGCCTGGAAGAAAGAGACAGTGCTCCTGTCCTAATCAGTTATCTAGTAACTCATAATGTGAGCAACTGCCAGATTTTTAAGAAACAAATCTTCAGAATGGTGATCAATGTTCTTAACCCATGTCACTCCCAAACACAAGGGCTGAGAGCACATGAAGATCCACAGATCATCACAAAACTGTCTTTACTAACAAAACCCAAGAACCCCAGACACAGCTGTGGACATCAGCTTTTTTTCTTTCAAATTTTAAAATGGTATTTTGCATATACATACTTCAGAAGTATAGTCACATTTTGGAGGATATAAATCCAAGAAATCATTGTGAAATGTTCTGAGATCTGAATTCAAACACAGACCTATTAAGACGACTTCCGTAAGCCCTCTGTTCTTTGAAGTATGTGCCATTTCTCCTATGCCTTCAGGGCCTGAGAGCTGGAACTACTGTTATGCAGCAGCCCGGGGAATGGATGCTAGGAAGTGAGTTAATGTAGAGTCACAGAACTGCACATCTTTTAACATGCAGTGGGTAAGTAGGAAAGTGTCAACCCAGCTAGCTTTTTAAACAATCCTGTAAGAAAATACCCTCCATTTATCCCACTGGTATTTTATCTTCCTTCAAGGTGTTAGTCAGAAATAAACCTAACGAATATTTTCCATACACAGCAAGATGCCCAGACAACCAAAAGCCACCCTCAGTATTTCTGGCCTGGGGGCTTGTCAGAATCAGGGCCCCCCAGAGCTGCTTCCTCTTGGTGAGACAGGCTGTCCGGGGGCCTCAGGGTGATTCCTGAGGGGCCCCGCTGGCTTCCCCTGAGATATGAGACCACTCAGGCAGAGCTTTCAGCTGAAGCCTTGAGGGTGGCCACTGGTGAAGCAGGCAGGACCTCTCTGTAGGCTCTGTCGCCGTGGTTTGGATGAAGTGGGTGGGGAGGAAGGGAGCAGTGTCGTCTGGCTGAGCTGTGACATCAGGTGAGCTCTTCTGCCAAAGCGTCGCCCTCAACTCACTCGTGACATATCCTGCCTTTAGGTGATGGGGCTTCGGGGCCTGAGAAGCACACCACCAGACCCACAAAGTGGGTTAAAATATATCCATGAGAATTTATAACTATGGAAGTCATCACCGTAACTTGGAAGAAGATAGTCGTGACTTAGAAACAAGAGTGTCTGTGATGAAGAGACTCATGAGGCATCACTGAGTACCTGAAGGTCACACGCAGGGTGGCAGCCCCACCGATAAGGCTCGCGCCATCCGAGGACTGTATCGTCTGCACTGACACTCTTCTTTCTCCCTTATGGAAGGAGTAGAAACAGAGGCTGATAAACACTTAGAAAGTCCCTCATAGGCACGGACCAGACCATCAGAGACCCACCTTGTCTTTTAGAACGCATGCCTTAGCTCACAAGATGAAAAGTATGCAGGAAGTCCTTGGCCACTCCTACTATGATGAGAAAACTCCTAAAATCTGTTACCTGTGGTAGAATTATTTAGGGTATGCTAATCCAAATTAATGCCCGTTTTTAAAATAAAAATGTTAGATGATGCCATAATTTTTTTGGTTAGGGCATTACATGTCCCATATATATATGTAGACTAGCTTACACTTTATACATTTCATCAAATGTGGGGTTTTGTCACCCAAACAGTGGACAAGAAATTAAGGACTGAATTAATCCCAGATGTATACTCTGATAACTCACCATATTTTGAAATAAGTTTAATTGCAGGGACAGGGGAAGAGCTGAAAATTTTCCTATTTATCACCCATCTGGAATTGTATCATTGAACTTAGAACAGTAAGTTACAATGTTGACAAAATTGAGGTACAGTCTGTTCTAATAATACACACAGAATCCAAAATTGCCAATTCTCAGTCACTGCTACCTGACGTACAATGTCACCATGAAAAGGCTTCCCTGGACTGCTGTCGCTGATGCCATGAAGCCCACCCCCAAGGGCAGCTGTGGCCTTGGACTGCAAGGAGCCTCTGGAACTTCACACAGAGCGCCTGACCTCTGCTGAGAACGGGGGGGGGGGGGGGGGGGTTCTAGGAGGGCTACAGTGCCCTCCATTCAGCTCTTAAAGACACTAAGGTGAGCTTGAAATACAAAGAGGAAGAGTTCAACTACTGTGCGGAAAGGCTTACACCCCCAACCATTCCCCTCCCATCTGTTCTGTTTCTTTTCAGGTTTTGGAGTGGTTTCTTCCTCCTGCTCATCTGAAAGGTTCCCCAAAGAAATGCTGAAAAAAGTATTATCACTAGGCTATCACGTTAGAGAATCTTCCCCATACAGAAGAGAGACACCACCTGACTTCCTGTTTGTCAACACAGCAGACACCCCTCTTCAGGAATCATCTACTGAGGAGGGGTTGCCGCCTGCTCCCATGTAAAGACAGCTCCTGGCTCTGGGGAAGAGAAGGGCTTTCTGTTTAGAACAACTTACAAACACACACCAAGAAACATGCAAATGCTACAGAGAATTGGGTGTGCATATTTCATGTCCAACACCGACAAGGGGAACGCTTGTTACAAAACACTGATGGGATGGTTTCTGTCACTCATGCTCTTAACTTGAGGGTCTTTGCGACACAAGGGGGCCTGTGAGGGTGTTTCTTCTCCTTTTTCTCAGGATTTGCAGTTGGTTCTATGCCCAGTGTTCAGCAATCTGGTAGCTCTGGGCCCAAACAGGCCTCTAGTCTCCCTGCACTTTCTCATCCCTCTGTGAAGAGCTGAGCTCAAACGCTGGAAACCGCGAGGTCTCTGGTGCCAAGATGTCAGAGAGAAAGTGAATCGCACCGGCCATTCCTGCAACACAAAACGCAGGTCTTTTTATGATGGGCACAGGCGTGTCTGAAACAAAGTGTGCTGCGCTGCCTGTGCCAGAGGCCCGGGACAGACAGGTGCCGAGGCCCTTACAAACCACCTTGCACAGACAAAGAGCGCTCAGGCTGCCAGCACTTAGTGGAATATGTTTTCTGCACTATCTTTGGTTTTTAATTGGCTTTGAAGTTTTAATCTTGTACCTTGAAACTTTAAGATGATCTCACAGAATTGTTACTGAAAAAGTTATGGGTGCTGCTATTATGATATTTAACATATAAAAATTCCTCAATAGAGCCTTTATATTCTTATTCCAAATAAAAAGTTGTATTGCATATCTTCCTTAGGTTTTAAGAATGTTGTTTTAAATTGAATTTTACTTGCTTTTTTCAAACACTCACCCAAAGCCACTGCAGCGACCAAGGTCGGGCTTTAACCTGGTGCACAGGGGCGCCTGGAGGGGTGGGAAGGCTGCTGGCCAGCGCCAGCCTCCAGGTCCCATCTCTCTCCTCAGTTACTCCCTGCTGGGGTTCTTTTTTTGAGGTACAGTTGATACACAATATTATATTGGTTTCAAGTACAGTAATTCAACAGTTAACTACATTATTAAATGCCTATCCCCAATTAGTACACTGTCACCACAAAAAGATATTACAGAATTACTGACTATATTCTCTATGCTGTACTTTCATCCCCATAACTAATTTATATGATAACTGAGATTTTATACCTCTTTATCTCCTTCACCTATTCACCCACCCACCCAAACCCTCCCCCATGGTAACTACCAGTCTCTTTTCAGTATCTGTGGGTCTGTTTCTGTTCTGTCTGTTTTGTTTTTTAGGTTCCACATACAAGTGAAATCATATGGTATTAGTCTTTCTCTGCCTGGTTTATTTCACTGAGCACAATTCCCTCTAAGTCCATTCATGTTGCAAATGGCAGGATTTCTTTTTTTTTAATGGCTGAATAATATTCCACTGTGTATATGTACCACCTCTTCTTTATCCATTCATCTACTGATGGACACTTTGGTTGCTTATATAACTCGGCCATTGTAAACATAGGTATGCATGCATCTTTTTAAGTAAGTAATTTTCTTCTTTTCTGGTAAATTCCCATAAGTGTAACTGCTAGGTCATATGGTATTTCTATTTTTAGGTTTTTGAGGAACTTCCAAACTGCTTTCCAGTGGCTGCACCAATTTATCCTCCCACCAACAGTGTAGGAGGGCTCCCTTTTCTCCACATCCTCGCCAACATTTGCTGTTTGTCTTTTGGATGGTGGCGATCCTTATTGGTGTGAGGTGATATCTCATTGTGGTTTTGATTTGCATTTCCCTGATGATTAGTGATGTGGAGCATCTTTTCATGTGCCTCTTGGCCATCTGTTATGTCTTCTTTGGAAAAGTGTCTATTTAAGTCCTTTGCCCATTTAATTGGATTATTTGTTTTTTTTTATTGCTGAGGTATATGAGTTCTTTATGTATGTTGGATATTAGTCCCTTATAGAATATATCACTTTTGAATATACTCTCCCATACTGCAGGTTGCCTTTTCACTTTGTGGATAGCTTCCTTTGTTGTGGAGAAGATTTTTGGTTTCATGTAGTCCCACTTGTTCATTTTTACATTTGTTCTCCTTGCCCAGGGAGATGTATCTGAAAAGAAATTACTCAAGCTTATGTTGAAGAAATTTATACCTATGGTTTCTTTTATGGTTTCATGTGTTACATTTGAGTTTTTAATCCATTTTGAGTTTACTTTTGTGTATGGTGTTAGTGATCTAGTTTCATTCACTTGCATGCAGCTGTCCACTTTTCCAAACACCAGTTACTGAAGGGACTTGTCTTTTCCCCATTTTATATTCTTGCCTCCTTTATCATATGTTAATTGACCATATCCATAGGTTGATTTCTGAGCTCTCTATTCTGTTCCATTGATCTATGGGTCTGTTCTTGCACCAGTTCCATACTGTTTTAATCACCACAGCTTTTCAGTATAGCTTGTGAGCAGGGAGCATGATACACTCAGCTTTGTCTTCTTTCACATGTTTACTTTGGCTGTTTGGGACCATTTGTGGTTCTCCATAAATTTTAGAATTCTTTGCTATGGTTTATTTAAAAATGCCATTGTTATTTAGATGGTGATTATATTGAATCTGTAAATTGCTTTGGGCAGGATGCCCATTTTGACAATATTAATTCTTCCTATGAGTGTTCCATTTATTTGTCTTCTTCAATTTCATTCAGCAGTGTCTTATAGTGTTAAAAGTACAGATCTGGCATTTTGTTGGTTAGGTATATTCCCTGGTATTTTATCTTTCTGATGCAATTGTACATGGAGTTGTTTACTTGATTTTTCTTTCTGTTACTTAACTATTAGTATATGGAAAGGCAAGATTTCCATATATTGATTATCTGTCCTGCAACTTTGTGGAATCCAGTTATTGGTTATAATAGTTCTTTTTCTTTTCTGCTTTGTTTATTGTTTCTGTTTTAGGGTATGTTGTTTTGATCCCAAGTGTTCAAATGGGGAGTTATTTCTTTTATTAAGTTATCATTGATATACAATCTTCTGAGGGTTTCACATGAGCAACATTGTGGTTATTATATTCACTCATAATATCAATTTCCCTCCACCCCACTGGAGTCACTGTCCATCAGCGTAGTAAGATGCTAGAGTCACTACTTGTCTTCTCTGTGCTATACTGTCTTTGGCATGACCACCCTATATTATGTGTGCTAATCATAATGAACCTTAATCCCCTTCTCCTTTACTTCCCATGCACCCTCCAAAACTCCTTCCCCTTGATAACCACTAGTCTCTTGGAGTCTGTGATCTGCTGCTGTTTTGTACCTTCAGTTTGCTTTGTTGTTACATGCCAAAAATGAGTGAATTCATTTGGAACTTGTCCTTTTCCACCTGGCTTATTTCACTGAGCATAATACTCTCTAGCTCTATCCTTGTTGTTGCAAATGGTAGGATTTTTCTTCTGGATGAATAATATTCCATTGTGTATATGTACCACATCTTCTTTATCCATTTATCTACTGATGGACACTTAGGTTGTTTCTATATTTTGGCTATTGTAAATAGTGCTGCTATAAACATAGGGGTGCACATGTCTCTTTGAATCTGGAATCTTGTTTTCTTAGGGTAAATTCCTAGGAGTGGAATTCCTGGGTCAAATGATATTTTTATTTTTAGTTTCGTGAGGAACCTCCATATTGCTTTCCACAATGGGAACTAACTCACGTTCCCACCAACAGTGTAGGAAGGTTTCTGCTCCTCCATATCCTTGGCAGCATTTGTTGGTTTTCTTTTGGATGTTGGCCATGCTAACTGGTGTGAGGTGGTATCTCATTGTGGTTTTCATTTGCATTTCCCTGATGATTAGCAATCTGGAGAATCTTTTCATGGGCCTGTTTGCCATCTGAATTTCTACTTTGGAGAAGTGTCTGTTTGGATCCCTTGCCCAGTTTTCAATTGGGTTATTTGCTTTTTTGGGTGTTGAGAAGTGTGAATTCTTTATATATTTTGGATGTTAATCCCTTATTGGATATGTCCTTCAAGAATATATTCTCCATAGTATAGGATGCATTTTTGTTCTTCTGATGGTGTCCTTTGCTGTACAGAAGCTTTGTGGTTTGATGTAGTCCCATTTGTTCATTTTTACTTCTGTTTCCTTTGCCCGAGGAGATGTGCTCAGGAAAAAGTTGCTCATGTTCATTTTCAAGAGATTCTTGCCAATGTTTTCTTCTAAAAGTTTTGTTTTTTCATGACTTACATTCAGGTCTTTGAACCATTTCAAGTTAATTTTTGTGTTATGAAGTTAGACAGTAATCCAGTTTCATTCTCTTACATGTAGCTGTCCAGTTTTGCCAACACCATTGGTGAAGAGGCTGTCATTTCCCCACTGTATATCCATGGCTCCTTTATCGTATATTAATTGGCCATATATGTTTGGGTTTATATCTGGGCTCTCTAGTCTGTTCCATTGATCTATGGGTTTGTTCTTGTGCCAGTACCAAATTGTCTTGATTACTGTGGCTTTGCAGTAGAGCTTGAAGTTGGGGAGTGTAATCCCTCCTGCTTTATTCTTCCTACTCAGAATAACGTTGGCTATTCAGGGTCTTCTGTGGTTCCATATGAATTTTGGAACTATTTGCTCTGGTTCATTGAAGAATGCTTTGGTATTTTGACAGGGATTGCACTGAATCTGTAGATTGTTTCAGGCAGGATGGCCATTTTGACAATATTAATTCTTCCTACCCATGAGCATGGGATGCATTTACATTTATTGGTGTCTCCTTCAATTCCTCTTAAGAGTGTCTTGTCGTTTTCAGGGAACAGGTCTTTCACCTCCTTGGTTAGGTTTATTCCTAGGTATTTTATCCTGTTTGATGCAACTGTGAATGGAATTGTTTCCTGATTTCTCTTTCTGCTAGCTCATCACTAGTATATTCGTATCACTAGTGATTTCGTATCCTGCAACTTAGCTGAATTCAGTTATTAGTTCTAGTAGTTTTGTGGTGTATTCTTTAGGGTCTTTTTATGTACAATATCATGTCATCTGCAAACAGTGACCATTTATAACTTCTTCCTTAACAATCTTGATGACTTTTATTTCTTTGTGTTGTGTGATTGCTGTGGCTAGGATCTCCAGTACTATGTTGAATAAAAGTGGTGAGAGTGGGCATCCTTGTCTTGTTCCTGATCTTAGAGGAGAAGCATTCAGCTTTTCACTGTTAAGTATGATGTTGGCTGTGAATTTGTCATATGTGGCCTTTATTATGTTGAGGTACTTGCCCTCTATACCCATTTTGCTGAGACTTTCTATCATGAATGGATGCAGAATATTGTCAAATACCTTTTCAGCATCTATTGAGATGATCATGCAATTTTTGTCCTTTTTATTGATGTGATTTATGATTTTGATGGATTTTTGAATACTGCACCATCTCCTGGCATCCCTTGAATAAAT